GGTGGGGAAGAGACAGAAATCTTTAATAAATAAATTAATTAATTAAAAAAAATCATGAGCATCCCTAGTCTATGCGTTCAGCTGTTTGTTTTGAGGCAGAGTCTCCTTGTAAAACCCAGACTGACCTCCAACAGCAATCCTCCTGCCTCTGCTTCCCCAGTGTTACTTTTTTTTTTCTCGAGACAGGGTTTCTCTGTGTAGCCCTGGCTGTCCTGGAATTTGCTTTGTAGACCAAGCTGGTCTCGAACTCACAGAGATCTGTCTGCCTCTGCCTCCCGAGTGCTGGAATTAAACCAGCCCAGCTCAGTGTTAGTTTTAAAAGCATGTACTACCATGCCCTGCAATTCTTCGTAGAATTTAAAAAACAAAAAAACAAAAAACAGAAAAAAAAACCCATTTCCTTATGCTGACGAGTGGATAAGATCATTTTCATAAGTGTTGATGCATTTTACCACACTGGCCTTTGAAAATATTCTGTGCACAAAGAAGAAATCTCTTATATCTTCAATGTTTGAAAATTTAGCATACAAGTAAAGTTGTCTTGGCTTTTTTGCACTAACACCCCAATAAACTTTGCCTCTACTCATTCTCCTCCCTCATGGTCTTAATATTTCATAACCCATAAAGGATTTCCACAGAAATAGCCTTAATTCTGATATCAGCACTGAAAGAGAATCTTTTTTTAACTAACACTAGCATTTTGTTTTGTTCTCTTAAGACAAGACTACATTCAACCTATCTAGAATATGTAAAGAGTAAGTGAGACCCAAAGCACAGAATGAGACAGGGAAAGTCCAAACGGACCAGAAGCCAGGGGATCTAATCTCAGACAAGCTAAACTCGCCTGTTAAAAGACACACAGTGTGAAACTGCATTAAAGTCATTCATCGGCTCTTTTCAAGGGATACACAATGCAAGTGACAAATAAGACTGAGGAGATGTGAGCCAAGAGGGCTCGGTTCCCAGGATCGGTGGAGACAGCTGGCCAGAGAGCACTACAAGGATGTAGGGGTTCCGTGGACAGAAGACAGCATCTCCTGGGAGCTTGGGCTTTTATCACACTCATTTTGGTCCAAGTAAGACAAAATATTTCCTAGAAGCACTCTGCTGAGAATTAGGGACTTGACTGATCGGTCCTTTGAGTCTTAATGTTTTGTTGTTGTTTTGTTTTCTTGTTTGTCCTAATCCCTCAGTCTTTCTTCTTAGATTTATAGTTTCTATTATCACAAGATGGAATTCTTTTTTGTAATGGAATGTAACTACCATGACATGTCCATTATTTTTTTTTCAGTTAACTATTTTTTTCTGAGGTGGTTTTTCAAAATGTGTGTGTGTGTGTGTGTTTGTGCATGCTTACATGAGGTTCCCTTGCTGCTCTTCCAGAGTACTAGAGTGGACCAGAATTCAGTTCCTAGCACCCACATCAGGCACCCAACACACCCTTCAGTCCTACACATGTACACATACTCTCACATACATATAAGATTAATAAGATATTTTAAATAGCATGTCACTGTCACTAACACATAGGAACCTCAAAATTCATTTTTAAAAATTATAAATATTATCATCACATAAATATTACTTAATAAGCATTGTTGTCACCTAATTTCTAGTCTACATTTATATAATTCCCCAAGTTCCTCAAAGTTCCTTCACTTTTCGTTTTTTGAGACAAGGTTTTTTGAGACACATTATTGTAGCCATGGTTGGGTTGGAACTTGGAGTGATTTTCCTGCCTCAGCTTCCCTAGAACAGGGATTACAGGCTCACAAGGCCTGGCTGATGTGGCTGTTGTTGCTGCTGCTCCTCCTCCTTTCTTCTTTTCTTCCTCTTCACCTTCTCCTCCTCCTTCTCCTTCTGAATTTAAGCATAAAGCCAGGTGTGGGTGGCATACACCTTTGAGCCTTGCACTTGGGAGGCAGAGGCAGACCACCCCTGAGTTTGAAGCTAGCCTGGTCTACATACTGAATTCCAGGCAGCCAGAATTACATGATGAGACTGTGTCATGAAATCACAACAGGAGAATTAAAATATCATTACTGTAATGGTCTGTCCTGTCCCTTTAAGAGAGAAGCCCTGCCCACTCCCCCCCCCAGGTCTGCTGAGACAAGCAGATTGTCCTTCAGCTTCCAGCCTGAGTCTCTCTCTCTCTCTCTCTGCCTTTCTCTTCATCCCCCTTCTCCCTCCCTTCCTCTCCCTTTCCCCTTCCCTTCCATAACCCACTAAATAAATATTCAACCCCACTCTGCATGGCGTGCCTATCTGTCTCTGTCTCTCACCCTCCACATGGCTCCCTGCCTGGGACTTGCTGCTCCTTGTGGCCTGCTGCCCGCTGCTGCCACTTGGGGGAATGGTGCCGTTTTATTTTTATCATAACAATTACATCATTTCCCCCTTGCCTTTCCTCCCTCTAACCCCTCGCCATGTACTGCTTCCCTGTTCTATCAAATTCCTGGCCTCTGTGTTGTTGTTCTTGAAGTCCTAGTCTCTGGCCTCCATCTTTGGAGGCCCGGTCCCTGTGAGCACCAAGCCTTGACCCCTCCCCAGAGGAGGGTCAAGACAGCAGCCAAAATCTTGACCACTCCCCTAGTCTATTTGCGCCCCCCCCCTTGCTGTGTTTCAAGCTTCCCGGTCCCCTAGGGGCTACCCAAGAGCGCAGGAATCCCATTAAACCTGTCTTGATTGAGATTTTTGAGTCAGCAGAGAGCTTGCATTAGGAAAATTCCTAATAGTTCTTACACACACACACACACACACACACACACACACACACTGAGTCCGTTTATTGTTATTTGGACGAACATGATTTCAGGGCTAACCACTTGGTATTGGATATATTGGATAGCCAACTAGGGGCTCCTCCCCAGAGAAGACTATTTCTACTGCTCTCAGAGTCCTTATTTGCCTTCTAGGTCTTTATCTAGTTTCCCTCTTCCATGTTAGCATGTCTATTAATATTGGACTTGTTCGGGTCTTGTTTAGGCAGACATATTGCTAAGGTATCATGTGTGAAGCTTCTCTGTGGTTTCTAGGAGACATATCTCACAGGTGTCTTGGTCCTCTGGCTCTTACAATCTTTTTGTCCCCTTTTCTGAGGTGTTCCCCTGAGCCTTAGGTGCAGGAGTTGTATGTGGCTACTTGAACTGGAGCTGGGCACTCAGGGCCAGGGTTTTTTTGTTTTGTTTTGTTTCTTGAGACAGGGTCTCTCTTGGAGCCTGTCGTGGCACTCACTCTGTAAACCAGGCTGGCCTTGAACTCACAAAGATCCACCTGCCTCTGCCCCTCAAGTGCTGGGATTAAAGGTGTGCACACCACTGCCCAGCAAGGCTTTTATTTATTCATTTATCATGAGACAGTGTTTCACTCTTAGTTCAGGCTGATGGTTAGAGATGATCCTCCTGCCTCGGTCACTTAAGTGCTGGAATTACAGGCCTGAGCCTCCACAACAAGCCCTTTCTTTATTTTGAAAACAATCAATTCCTACCTTTCATAACAGCACCCAGTTTGGGGTCTACAGTAGCAGTCCCCAGACTTGTGTTTTGTCTGAAACATCCTTTTGCACTCTTAAACACTGCTGAGGGTAGAGGTGTACGTATATTATTGATAACTCAGTGACAAAGCTTAAAAAATCCACATATATGTATTTTATGTGTGTTTTGTCTGCATGTATGTGCAGCCTGTCTATGCCTACTACCCGGGGAGGTCAGAAGAGGGTATCAGATCCCCATGAATTAGAGTTACAGATGGTTGGGAGGCACCATGTGGGTGCTGCGAACTGAACCCAGGTCCTCTGCAAAGAGCAAGTGTTCTTAACTGCTGAGCCACAAAGCCTTTGCCCAGTACACAAAAGGCCCCTGCAAGGATCTCAGTACAAACCTTTAGTGTAAACATTAACTAGCAATAGTACATCTTACTAAGAATTAAAACTGATTTATCCTAAAGCACAAATATATAGATACCGTCGGTTGTGATGGCATTACATGGGATCAAATGATCAAGAGAAACTGCTTGCCATTATTTGGGTCTGGGCAGCAGGGAAAAATGAACGAGCAGGGGCTGGAGAGATGGCTCAGTGGTTAAGAGCACTGACTGTTCTTCCAGAGGACCTGAATTCAATTCCCAGCAACCACATGGTGGCTCACAACCTTCTGTAATGACGTCTGGCGCCCTCGTCTGGCCTGCAGGCATACATGGAGGCAGATTGTTGTATACATAATAAATAAAATCTAAAAAAAAAAAAATGAACGAGCAGTCTCTGTTTACAGAAAGTGACAGTGAAAATATAATTAAACAGTATTGTCGGTAACGCAGACGTCAAAACACTTCTCCAAATGCACCCCAGCCCACTCCATTCTTGCAGTCCAGGGATCCAAGTGCAGAGAGGCAAGTCTTGGCCTTTTCCACTTAAAAAGTTACTCTTTCCAAACTGTAACATTCGAAAGGGTGAGGCAGAAGAGTCCCGAGTTCGAGGTCTCAACATGGCCCACAGAGAGCGCCTGTCTCAAAACACCAAAGCAAACCAAACTAAACAGTTAAGCCGAGAAATCAGAAGCGACCACACAGCCTTTTAAGGAACCGCCCCGGGGAACCCTTCTAGCGAACCGTAGGCTTCCCACTTCCCGGCATGCCCCGGGCGTGCGTGCAAGAGGCGTGGCCAAGGGCGCGCGCGTCCCACGTGACCCCAGGTCAAGCGGAGCGGGAATCTGCGAGCTTGCGGTCGCTGGGTCGCTTGGTTTTCTTCAGCCGTGGGTCTGCACCCCTGAACCGGCCCGAGCCCTCCGGGAAGGAAGCCCGCGAGACAGGAAGTGCTCCCTCTCGCAGCGAGTGTTTCGAACTTTCCGGGCCTCCCGTGGCGGCCGCTTCCCGGCTTGCCCAGCTTCCGCCTGAGTTTAATCTTGCTCCTGGCACTCTGAAACGAAACGTGGTGCAAACATGTCCCGGATCGAAAAGATGAGCATTCTGGGCGTGCGGAGTTTTGGGATAGAGGATAAAGATAAGCAAATTATCACTTTCTTCAGCCCCCTCACAATTTTGGTTGGACCCAATGGGGCGGGGAAGACGGTAAGTCCTGAGGCGAGGGCCCCAGAAGGTGCTGGGGGTGCCGTTTTGCATGGCGCGTGGACCTCAGCGACCCCGGAGCCGACTTGGCCCAGCCACTTTTGGGCTTGGCACTTATTACCGTGGAAGGCCACCCGCGTCCGTGCTCTCCTGCCCCGCCCCCATGTTCCCGAATCTTAGCTGTCACTCCGCGTTAGTTTTTCCCCAACCCCCCCCACCCCCGCCTCCGCCGCCGCAAAGGTATAAACTGTGAGAAATACCTAACGTAGAGTTTCAAAACATGTCTACTGGTAAAGCATTACGAATGAAAAAAAATGGTTTAATGTCAAGATGAACTGAAGGAGTGAGCCTCAAACTGGAAAACTTGTGTTACCATGCTACTAAAAATTTGGGCTGTGCATTGTGACACATACCTTTAATCCTAGATTGGCAGAGGCATGCCCATTTTTGTGAGTTGCAGGCTAGAGCAGAAATGCCTCGTTGGATGTTGAAGGCCTGGGGTGGACCTTTATATGGAAATGTGGGGTGAATGTCTATTATGTTCTTAACATCATATGGCTGCAGCCAAGCATTGGTCTCCTGGAAGAAAGACCTAGTAAGGCGTTTATAACCACTGGCTGCATAAATGTGTATGTTGTTATTATTTTATTTGTTTATTTTGGAGACAGCATTCCCCCCCCCCCCACTCCCGTAGCTCAGGCTGACCTTGAGCGCTTGTTCTTTCCTGCCTTCCACCTAAGTGCTGGAATTGTAGGCATGCATCACCACACCTGGATGTGAATTAATATTTGTCATAAACTTCTGTGGTTCTTATGACTAAATAACACAATTTTCTATTTCTTTAGACCATCATTGAATGTCTAAAGTATATTTGTACTGGAGATTTCCCTCCTGGAACCAAAGGAAATACATTTGTTCATGATCCCAAGGTAATGGTGTTTATAAAGTTTCATATTTTAAAAAATGAAATTTTTATGATTATAAAAGTACTAGTTGCTTATTGGAGAGGACTTAACAACGGAGAGTATGAAGAGAGGAAGGTCATCGACGGTCTAAGCACCCCGTGATAACCATTGTTGGTGTTTTTAGTAATTTTTCTCCCTATGTGTAATGTTTTGCAGAGCAGAGATCATAGTCCTGCGTAATGATGCATTCAGGTTTTCCCCACTGAGCGTTGCTGTACCATGTGAGGTTACTAAAACACTCTAGGACTGACACAGGGGTTCATCAGGTCAATGCACTTGCTATGCGAGTCAGACTTGTGAAGGTGGAAGGAGGGAATGGATGCCGCAGAGTTGTCCTCGAGACCTCTACACGTGCCCACACACAAACATGCACATTTGCACATGACACACAAAGTAATAAAAAATATTAGTATTTAGGATGTGTTTTCAGTCTTTGTACTTTTTTTTTTTAGCTGAAGTCTTTATTTAAAACTTGTGATGCTGTGTAAATTGCGTTAATATTTGCGTTATTGTTTGCATTTCGATTGCTGTAGTTTTCCCCTTTATTCTACCTTGATGAAAATCTTAGTGATGAAGCTTTGCTTGAATTGCAGGATTTTTATTACTAGTGTGTATATAGGACATTGTGTTTGGCCTATATTCTTATTGCATATATATTATAACAAGAATATGAATTTATTTAGTCCCATTAAATCTCAATAAGTTAAGGGTTTATTCTTAGATTCCTTCTGTACTTGTAAAACCATGTCTTTGTGTGTTTATCAATACGCTTGCATATTTATATTTTAGAGTATCCCTAGAAATTTTTTTATACAAGTTAGGTTAGTGGTGTGCTATACATGTTAATAACATAGACGCACTTGCTGTTTTTAGTTTCCATGAATACTCTGTTGCGTTTATAGGGTTATTGTTTGTTTACTTTAAGACAAAGTCTCACTGTATAGTCTTGGCTGACCTGAAACTAGCTACAGAACCAGACTGCCCTTGAATTTAACAGAGATTAACCTGCCTTTGCCTTCTGAATTAAGGACACGTGCCACTACTACCAGGCCTAGTTTATTAAACCAACACCTGTTATTTAAGTTGTATCTTTAAATGCGACTTTAAACTTTAAGCCTGATATGCTGCCACATGCCATCAATCCAGTACTCTGGAAATGGAGGCAGGAGGATCAGGAGATTGAGTACAGATTGGGCTGCATGAGACCTTGTCTCAAATGAACAAAACATCCTAGACATACCTGGGAATAAGGGAACCTCAATTGAGGAATTGCCTACATCAGATTGGGCTGTGAGCCTATCTGTGGGGCATTTGTTTTTGATTGCTGATTGGTATGGCCAGCCCTTCCAGCCCGTTGTGGGTAATACCATCCTCGGGCAGGTGAACCTGAGCTATGTGAGAAAGCCAATAAACAGCACTCCTCCATGGTCTCTGCTGCAGTTGCTGCCTCCAGATTCCTTGCTGTGGGAAGTGCTTCTGTATGTATTTTGCTTTTATTGGTTAATGAATAAAGAATCTGCCTTGGATGTAATGGGGTAGCTGGAAAGCGGGGAGAGACACGGGACAGGACTAAACTGAATGCTTGGAGAAAGAAGGCAGAGTCAGGAGATTCCATGGAGCCACCAGAGGGGAAAGACGCGAGCTGCCAGCTGGAACCTTGCAGGTAGGCCACGAGCCTAATATAAAGTAATAGAAATGGGTTAATGGAAGAGCTTGCAAGGAATATGCTATAGTGATTGGCTAAGCAGTGATTTAATTAATATACTTTCTGTGTGGTTATTTCGGGAGTCTGGGCGGCCGGCAAACAAACAAGCAGTCTGCTACTACAATTCCTAGCTTGAGCTCCTGCCCTGGCTTCCCGAGACAAAACTTGGAAGCCAAAATACTTCCCCAAACTGGTTTTTGTCAGTGTTTTATCAAAACACTCCTAATGTGACTTTAAAACTTTGATGTAACTAAAGATAATGCTGGAATTATGAAAGCATTTATGAATTTCATCTTGGAAATAGTCATACTGCTAGGAAGTACACTTTTACTGAGCCCTCTAAACTGACTGGCTGCTCAGACCTTCTCTTTCCTAAATTTATAATCTCCTCTGCATGGTTAATGCTTTTGACTTTTACTTTATTGATGGAGGGATCAGATGAAAATTCCTTCAGTTTTTTACAAAAATCTACCGAGCTACCCTACATTTGTGTCAGTACTGTTCATTGTGTTTAATTTATACTGTTCATTAGTATAAATTATGACTAATACCCTGTACTTACCTGTACTCACATCGTTCCCGTTTTCAGTCCTGGTTCTACCTCTGAAACTCCAGTTTAAGTAAATGATAGCATCGTCCACACATTTTTTTTCTTATACCAAAACTTGTGTGTTGAGGCCAGGCAGTGGTGGCACACACCTGAAGTTCAGCACTCAGGAGGCAGAGGCAGGCGGATCTCTGTGAGTTTGAGGCCAGCTTGTTATCTACAAACAGATTCCAGGACAACCAGAGCTGTTACACATAAAGAAACCCTGTCTTGAAAAACCAGCCAAACAAAAAACTGTGGACTGGCCTTAATGAATCGGTTTCTTTGTCTTACCCCATTTCCAGTTCACAAGCCAGTCTTTGCTGCTCCTTAGAATGTATCCAGGATTTTTCCTATCCATTCTGTACCAACAGCTGTGATTTGAGCTGTCAGTGATCCCCTAAGTTGTTTTCTTGCCTCCATTCTTGAAGTAAGTTCCAGACCATCCAGGGCTACATAGAGAGACCCAGTCTCAAAAACAGTCAAACAAGACACAATTTTTTTTTTCTTTTACATAGCAAGCAACCCCTGTAAATATTTGTTCAAGAGGAAGAGAGTTGCTTAAAGTCTGGGGAAGATGGTTCCATTCAGTGTTAATACTGAGTGCAGAGTCCCTGAAATGGAAACACGCTGAGTGCTCAAAGACTCGGAGGAGCAAAGTGGTGAAGGCAGACACAGAAAGCCAAGTCAGAGTTAGAAGACACTAGGTTCAGTGGGGCTTCAGCATGCTAGGCGAGGGCTTCTCTGCTGACCTTTAGCCTCAGCCCAGCTCTTAACAGACATTTAGAGCTTTGGAGTAGAGAAAACGTACAGTCTGAGCTATGTGTTACAGGATCAGTCTGTTGCTGACAGAAGACTATAAATGGCAAAGGAAGGAGACAGACTGAGAGGCCTGTGATCATATTGGTGGCTTAGTTAAGGTAGTAGAAGTGGTGAGAGACAGATTTGGGGTGTGACCTGAGACTAGAACCAACATATTAGCTAATGTTGTTGATAATGATATTGAGAGAAGCAGAAGCATAGCCTAAGGCTTTTTTCCTGAACAAGTTGTTATTTTTTCCAGTCAGGTGGTAGCTGAGCATACCTTTGATCTAGCTCTCGAGAGGCAGAGGTTGGCAGACCCCTGTGAGTTCGAGGCCAGCCTTTTCTACTAAGAGAGTTCCAGGACAGCCAAAGCTACACAGTGAGACCCTGTTTCAAAAACATAAAAGAGATCGTTTTGCCTTTTAATGTCATAGAAGTACTCAAAAAGGGAATTTGGGTGGATCTGGTTTACATATATAAGTTTGAGATATTTGGTAGATTTCTAAAGTAAATATCCAGTTACCAAAAAACAAACAAACAAAAAACCACGGAGAGGTTAAGAGGAAAATTAGGAATTATTGATAGATACATAGTTGAGTACAGTTAATATCTCAGGCCTAAGGACATCAGGTAGGAAATGAATAAAAGAGAAAGGCCTGAAGCTAGAGCTCTAGAGTGTTTATAAACTGGGAAGAGGAAGTTGGCAGTTAGTGAAGGAGCAGACCCTCAACTTTACTATGTTAACTGTTAGTGAAAGGGTGTTTGGATATATGGAGCCATTTGCTCCTCTTGACAAAGTCAGCTTCAGTGGGCAGTAGCTAGAGAATTTTTCTTGTTCTTTTCTCTTTTTTTTTTTTTTTTTTGCTTTGTTTTTTTAAGATAGGGTTTCTCTGTTTATCCCTGGCTATCCTAGAATTTGCTTTGTAGACCAGGTTGGCCTTGAATCACAGAGATTCACCTGCCTTTGCCTGGCATTTGCTGGGATTAAAGGCATGTGCCACCACTACCTGGCAAGAGTTTTTCTTGATAAGGGTTTTTTCATTGGCTAGTGTTATTAGTGTCTATAAAGTGGAATATGCTAGCGTATAGACCAGTGAGTAGAGGGTAAATGAATACTGAACAAAAGAGGCAGCTAATTAAAAAATAAGTTAAATAGTATACTTCTCATGTTTTGAAAAAGTGTAAAGGTGGCTCATTTTGAGTGAGGCCTTCTAGTGGCTTCCCTCTCATTTTTGGATAAGCCAGATGTTAATGCTCTTTTCTTTCTTGATAGGGACATGCTGGTACTTCTTAGGACTGTGTTTTTCTGTTTACCATCAAAGGTTGCTCAAGAAACAGATGTGCGAGCCCAGATTCGCCTGCAGTTTCGAGATGTCAACGGAGAGGTGGTGGCTGTGCAGAGGTCTATGCTTTGTAGCCAGAAAAGCAAAAAAACAGAATTTAAAACCCTGGAAGGAATCATTAGTAGAAGGAAGTAGGTACTCAGCTTGTTTTGGAGAGCCGCTCACATCCGTCTCCTGGCCCAGAAGCCCTTCTCTCGCTACTGTTTTATTTTAGGAGAATGTATTGATTTTTTTTTTTCAGCAGGATTTTGTTTTCCTTTTTGGTATAGTCTTTTTTTTTTTTTTCTTTTTGAGATAAGGGCTTATACTGAAGCTCAGCCTGACCTGGAACTCGCTGTGTCACCAGAGTGGCCTCAAACTCAAAAGGATGCTTCTGCCTCAGCCTTGTGAGTGCTGGGTTATAGGCACATATCTCTACACCTGACCTCAGGCTTTATTTTTTAGAGTAATTTTGTAGTTAGACAGTATAATTGAATACAGAGTAGAGCTCCCATCTATTCCATACCTCTACATGTACAGTCTCAGCCACTATTAACATTTAGGTTTTTTGGTACTATTTATCTTGAAATAGAATGATTTTTTTCGATTTCTTTTTACATTTATATATATATAGTGTATATGAATATTTTGCCTCCATGTATGCATGTACAGTAGGTTAGAAGAAAGCATCAGATCTCTTGGAGCTGGAGTTTTACATGGTTGTGAGCCACCATGTTGGTGCAAGGAATCAAACCCAAGTCCTGTGCAAGAGCAATGAATGCTCTAAACCACTGAGCTGTCTCTCCAGCCCAGAAATAGAATGATCTTGTTAAAGATTTATCGGTAATATTCCATTGCCTTATTATTATCGTGTATGATAATTTGAAATAATTCATATATAATAGATAGGAAGTATTTATTCTTCCATCCCCAGGACTAGAAACACAAGAGACCAAAGTGAATAAAATATGATATGATCATTAATAGCAGACAGGGAAAGGTGAATAAACAGAAGCACAAATAATGTGGGTTAGGAAATGCGTTTCATCACTTCTCAGCCTTTTGACTAAGATCAAGTGTAGGAAATTGTTATTGGGGCCAGAGAGAGGACTCAGTGGTTAAGAGCACTTGCATTCTCCAGAGGACACGAGTTTGGTTCTCAGCACCTGCATCAAGTCACTCACAGTCACCTGTAACTTCAGCTCCAGAGGGTCTGATACCATCTGCTGGCACCGACACGTATGTACACTTGGACTATTTTAAATTTGTTGTTCAAAATTTAAAATATGGGAAGATACTTGCCAAAGAAGAATGAACAACCAAGTTTGATTCTCAGCACCCATGGAAAACCAGATGTGATCATGTATGCTCGTAATTCCAGCTCTGGGGAAGCAGAGAGAGGAGGATCTTGGGACTTGCTGGCTACTCAGTCAGCTGAATCAGTGTACTCCAGATTTAGTGGCAAGATTCTTTGTCTCAGAAGAAAAGTAGAAATTGATTGAGAAAGACTTTGTCCTGTGGCCACACAGACATTACACACAAAAACAAACACACAGACCCAAAAAAGTCCTACTGTGTCTTTTAAAAATTCTTACCTTCTTTCTTACAGTACCTGATTTATATAACCTCATCTGTGAACTTTTGACCATGAAGAGTTAGCTTTTTTCCCGTGTGTGTGTGTGTGTGTGTCTATTTCTGTGGTCTGTCTGCAGGTGTGCTTGTGTTTGAAGAAGCCAGAGTTCAGCCTTGGGTATGGTTCTTCCAGAGCCACTCACCTCTTTTTTTTAAGTCAGTCATTTATTGATCTGGAGCTTGCTAATTCAGCTAGCCTGTGAGTCCTAGCCAGGAGTCCTGTCTTTGCCTCCTCAGCACTGAGACAACAAGTGCATCCCACCACCTGAACTTTCTGTTACAATGTGATTGGGATTGGACTCCAGCCTGATGCTTAGATGGCAAGCACTTCACCAACCAATCCACCCTTGCTCCATGAGTTTTCTTAGCAGGAGGACCCTGTTTTAATGGACAGATAAAGTGTAAAGAATAGCATGTGTTGAAGATGTGGCTCAATTAGTATACTGTCTTCAGCTCGATGCCCAGCACCATATAGACTGGGTGTGGTGGCAGACGGTGTGGTGGCGCATGCCTTTAATTCCAGCACTCAGGAGGCAGAGGCAGGTGGATCTCTGTGAGTTTGAGGCCAGCCTGGTCTACGAGAGCTAGTTCCAAGACAAGCTCCAAAGCTACAGAGAAACCCTGTCTCGGTGGGGAGGGGGATTAAACAGAAGAGGAGGTACCTCCAAAGGTTGTTTCACTGATAGCCCTGATTCTCAACTTTGTAGGCATGGTGAAAATGTCAGTCTGAGCTCCAAATGTGCAGAAATCGACCGAGAAATGATAAGCTGCCTTGGGGTTTCCAAGGCTGTGCTAAATAATGTCATTTTCTGTCACCAAGAAGACTCCAACTGGCCTTTAAGTGAAGGAAAGGCCCTGAAGCAAAAGTTTGATGAGATTTTTTCTGCAACAAGGTTTGTAACTGTGGACTTTGTAGCTGTGGAATTATTTAGTCATGTTGTGTTTTGTGAGGCTGTGCTTGATTCAGGTCCTCATGCCAAGTGCCTGTGTTTCAGCGGAGTTAGATCCCCAGTCTGGATAGGTACTCCTGTTGGTTTTATTGCCCAGGCTGCCCCAAATTTTTGTGCTCACCCAGTGTCTGGAGCTTTAGGTGCCACTGTGGCCACCTTGATGTTCTTTTATAAAAGAAAAAATTAAAAAGCAAAAATTGTCAGCATGCAGTACTCCATCATGTGGTAACCATTGGCTGTACTTCCTTTCATTTTCTTGCTGCGCATGTTTATCTGATAAAATAAATGTAATTTTTTTCCCACTTAGCCATGATGTCATAACCATTTTCCAGGTTATTAACTCTAAATGTAATATTAATGTTGGCCTAATACTCTATTGTAATTTACTCAGCCAAAACTTTACTTTTATTTCATATCTTCAAAGGTACATTAAAGCCTTAGAAACACTTCGACAGGTACGTCAGACACAAGGTCAGAAGGTAAAAGAGTGTCAAACAGAATTGAAATATCTGAAGCAAAATAAGGAGAAAGCTTGTGAGATTCGCGATCAGATCACTAATAAGGAAGCCCAGTTAAGGTCTTCACAGGAAATTGTCAAGTCCTATGAGAATGAACTTGAGCCACTGAAGGTAACTGATGTTTTTTGTATGGGCAGATTAAAATTTTGCGTATTTGTGACATATAATATGATCTCTGTGTTGGTAGATCTTAAGATTTATTTTCTCAGCAGTTTACGCAACAGTTAGTTATGATTGTATTTTCCGTGGTGGCAATTGCTGTTATCTAGCATGCTAAGAAATCCCTCTCCCCCACTATGATATCATTTACCCTTAAGTACTTTTATTTATTTCTTTATTTTGGTTTTTCGAGACAGGGTTTCTCTGTATAGCCCTGACTCTCTTGGAACTCACTCTGTAGACCAGGCTGGCCTTGAACTCAGGGATCCATTTCCCTCTCTTCTCAAGTACTGAGATTAAAGTTGTGTGCCACCATCTTTCAGCCTAAAGTACTTTTTATTTATTTTTGTTTTAAGTATATCAGTGTTTTCCCTGCATGTATGTCTGTGCACTGTGTGCATGCAGTGCTGATGGAGGCCAGAGTCACAGACGTTGAGTTGCCGTGTGAGTGGTGGGAATCAATCTGCTTTTACCTTCAAAGCCATATCTCTTTCCCCATTAAGCCCTGTATCTTTATATGGCCTTCCGGAGCATGTTTATGTCTTTAAAATTACCAGAAACTCAGTTCTGTCCAAAGTCTTAGGTCTGTGTTAGACAGTCAGTCGTTCTTATTTATTTATTTATTTATTTATTTATTTAGGTTTTTCCATACAGGCTTTTTCTGTGTAGCCCTGGCTGTCCTAGAACTCACTCTGTAGACCAGAGTGGCCTCTGCTGGCCTCCACCTGCCTCTGCTATCATGCCCAGCTTAGACAGTTGGTCTTTAAATTTCCTGATGAGGTTGGATTTGAGAGCAAGTAGATCGTCATTGAGTGGTTGGCACTGGTCCTAGCTGTTAAGCACTGCTACAGCTAGCCGACTTTACAATTGTTTTCTCTCTTTGGAGATTTTCAAGTCGACAGGTCTTTGTAGAGAATTTTTGTAATTTTAAAGGTGTTCTTGACATTTGTAGAAAATTTGGACTTCATCCATGACATATATACAAATTAGTGTACCTTTCTAGGCCCTGTTTGTTGTTGTTTAAGCAGCTTACAGATTAGCAGGTTTTCTTACCGCATTTTCATGCATACATGGCTTTCGTTGTTCCTTCTTCCTACCCTCTTCTGGGTTTTAGTATTTATCTCTGAGACAGGATCTTAGCCATTTGCCCAGGCTGACCTTAGGTAAACTCCTGGGCTAGGATCAAGGGATCCTTTTCCCTACCTCCTTTCCAGAGCCTGGATGAGGGCAGCAGCTGAAGGCTGTGGTTTATAAGAAAGGACTTCAGGAAATACATGCCTTTGGGAATATTTACCCAGCGCCTCCTGTGTGCCAGATATCCATGCTTCAGTCTGCAAACTCAAGGAGGACTTGCATTCCAGTCTTACTTCCCAGTCTTGTCATATTGTCGGCCACGCCTGCTTCCAGCCTGGTCTGCAGCTTTGTCCAAGTTGCTCAAGTCTTCTGACTGTGCTGCTTAGCATGTGTTCTTCTAGTAGTGTCTGGAACACAGTAGGCTTTAATCAGTGATATGGCCATTATTATTTGTAAGATTACTTGTTCAGACCTTCCTCTTAGCTAACATTAAACATTTTGGGGATATAGGAGGCAGTAAAGGAAGTTCCTGCTTGTATGGTGATTACAGACTATCCATTAGTATATAGAACATAAGATATATTACTGGCATGATTTATTTTGCTCCTTATATTTTATGTGTGTGAGTATTTTGCCTGTATGTATATCTGTGCAGCACATTTATGCCTGGTGCACTTGATGAGTGGAGGCAGAAAGATTGCGAATTTAAAGTCGTCTTGGCTACATAGTGAGTTTAAAACCAGTATGGGCTACATAAGATCCTGTGTAAACTAGAACAATGTGGCAAGGAGGGCTCCTTTGTCCTGGCTGCCCAGAACCAAAATAATCACACAGAAACTATTACTTAAAACACTACTTGGCCTATTAGCTCTAGCTTCTTATTGGCTAACTCTTATATATTAATTTAACCCGTCTCTATTAATCTGTGTATTGCCACGTGGCGGTGGCTTACCAATTCTATCTGGTTCCGGCAGGGCTACATGGCTTCTCTCTGACTCTACCCTTCTTTCTCCCAGCATTGTTTAGTTTTCCCTGCCTAACAACAAGAAGGGCTGGAAATACAGCTCAGTGTTAAAATGCTTGCCTGTTAGGTATGAAGCCCTAGGACCAAGCCTCAGCACTTGTCATTATCATCTCTAGACATTTGAGAATTCTGTTCTTAAAATACATCATTTCAGAGGCTAGATTGAAGGCTCAGCAGTTACGACGGCTCACTGTTCTTGTAGAAGATCCAAGTTCATTTCCCGACATTCATGTCAAATAGTTCACAGTCGCCTATAACTCTAGCTCCAGGGGGGGTCTAACACCTGTCTGACATCCTTGGGATGTACACAAACACACATACATGTACACATAATAACAAATCACTTCTTCAAATCGACAGGTCTTTGTAGAGAATTTTTGTAATTTTAAAGGTGTTCTTGACATTTGTAGAAAATTTGGACTTCATCCATGACATATATACAAATTAGTGTACCTTTCTAGGCCCTGTTTGTTGTTGTTTAAGCAGCTTACAGATTAGCAGGTTTTCTTACCGCATTTTCATGCATACATGGCTTTCGTTGTTCCTTCTTCCTTTGATTTGGAGAAAGTGTAGTATCTGTTCTTATCAGGGTAACAAAAATAGTTAAAATGTGGCATTTTACAGACTGTGGTTGTCATACTTTGGGAACAAATGACTCACGTGGGAGTTGATGAAAGCAGGGTATGGGCTTTATGGTGTTCTGAGCGCTTCACATAGTGTTAGCCCTAAATGGTGGTGTCTTAGTAAATGTTCCTTGCATAACTTACATCCATTTCTCAGTGATGGAAACCACAATGGAGTCATTCATGTAGAATTTCTCTTTATTTTCAGAATCGTCTGAAAGAAATTGAACACAACCTTTCTAAAATCATGAGACTTGACAATGAAATTAAAGCCTTGGATAGCCGAAAGAAACAAATGGAGAAAGATAACAGTGAATTAGAACAGAAAATGGAAAAGGTTTGTGGTCGTAAGTTTTGTTCTGTTTGAAAATCAAGGACTATCATAATGAATTGCATTGATAAACCCTTTCATCTCCACATTTTGGGGAAAAAGTAAACCTGAATCTTGATGTTCGTGATACCTCTACTAAAATGGATATTGACTAAAATTTTATTTATATTTGATGTGTCAGGGTGGTTGTCATAGTAACACAGTACGCTGTCTATTTTGGTTTGACGCAGGTTTTTCAAGGGACAGACGAGCAACTGAATGACTTGTATCACAACCATCAGAGAACAGTGAGGGAGAAAGAAAGGCGCTTGGTAGACTGTCAGCGCGAACTGGAGAAGCTGAATAAAGAAGCCCGGCTCCTCAGCCAGGAGAGAGAGGAGCTGCTGGTGGAGCAGGGTGAGGCACAGACCTTCTAGCACATTCATCTCCTGCAGGAGTCTCCACAGCATTCAGTCTCAAAAGGCTGAAATGTTGACGTGGAGGACATAGGACACAGCACCCAGAACACGTGGTTGCTAGGGATAGTGGAGAGAAGGGACAGGAGAAGCTGGGTGTGCTTATGGCTACAGAACAAGAAGGCTCTTAAGGTGCTGAAACTGTTTAGTATCTGCACTGCTGTTTGGATATGTAAACTGACATGGGATAAAATTATGTAGAATTTGGGCTTAGACGGTTCAGTGGTTAAGAGCACTTACTGCTCTTCCAGAGAACTTGAGTTTGGTTCTCAGCACCCACATTGTGTGGCTTACAGGCACCTGTAATTCCAATTCCAAGGATCTAGGGCCCTCTTGTCTCCATGGGCACTCACACATGTGGCACAGACACACATAGACATAAACAGAAATTTTAAATCTTTTTTAAAAAGTTACATGAAACAGTGCATGCACACAAAAAAGTACAAGTAACACTGGGGATTAAGGTAGACCTAATAGGTTCAACAATGTCAGGCTACAGTTTAGACTTTATATAACAGTTTTACACTTTCATTAGAGCAAAGTGGGCAGAGATTTTTTTTTTACAAGTACATATGAATTTACTGTTAAATTAAAAAAGTTAAAAAAACAACTAAAAGGAGTTTTTTTTTTTTTTTTTTTTTAAATAAAGGTCGTCTACAACAACAGGCAGATCGCCATCAAGAGCATATTCGAGCCAGAGATTCATTAATCCAGTCTTTAGCATCATATCTCGAATTGGATGGTTTCGAGCATGGACCCTTTAGTGAAAGACAGATTACAAATTTTCATGAACTTGTGAGAGAGAAACAGGAAAGAGAAGCTAAAACTGCCAGCCAGTTCTTGGTAAATATCTTGAAATCCAGGTTCCCTAGGTGATTTGATAAACTTTTTGTTGTTTGTTTTTTGAAACAGGGTTTCTCTGTGTAATCCTGGCTGTCCTGGCACTTGCTCTGTAGATCAGGCTGGCCTCAAACTCAGAAATTCACCTGCCTGTGCTGGAATTAAAGGTGTGTGCCACCACACCTGTGTAATTCAATAAACTTTTTAAGTGAACCTGACTTTGTCATATTTTTAGGTGAATGTTTGGCTATTAAGTAGAAAAGAAAAGTTTTAGAAACATTTAATTAATTCATAAGGCTATAAATAGGATCAAAGTGTAGAGCTATGGTTTTTTAAGTAAAATTTATTTTTGAAGGTAACTACAAAAACCTTGGCTCACAGTTACTGATGGTCACTTCTGGGCAGTGCTTTCAACAGTTTTAGAAATTATTTCTTGTGTTTTTTATGTTACTTTAAAGGGAAGTTTCCTTAATTGCTTAATGAAAGACTTACTAATGTGCGTTCTTGGCATTTAGAATGACCTTACAGAGAAAGAAACTTTGAAGCAGAAGCAGATTGATGAGATAAGGGACAAGAAGAGTGGACTGGGAAGAGTGATCGAGCTGAAAACAGAACTCCTCACCAAGAAACAGAGCGAGCTGAGAAACGTGAAGAATGAGCTTCAGCGGCTGGAGGGCTCATCAGACAGGATTCTGGAGCTGGACCAGGAGCTCACAAAAGCGGTAAGCTGTCCAAGTGACAGTCTCAGGTCTAAGAAACCTGGAATCTTCCATTCTGAAGTGTCTTCTATCGCTTGCCCTGGGATTGTGCCCCTTCAGTTAATAATCCACATAAATGAGATATTTAAATATCTTGGTCATCAGCTCTTTGATTCTAGAAACCTGTGGGTTAAAAATGAGGATCAACAAGAAAACTTTAAAAAATACTTGTGTTCAGACTTTCAAGCTTTAGATTCTCGAAATCAAAGTCTCCTTTGAGTGTGTTTGAGAGATGTATGTTCCAAACACAACCAAGTGAGGTAATTATTACAAGTCCTCAGGATTTGACCTGAGTTAAAAATTGGGTATTTTTTTTTTTTCAATTAGTTTCCACACTGAGATTTTATGTGATCAACTTGCTACTGCTTTTTCTATGGTAAACAAATTTACCTGGCCATTTTCTTCACGAGTTTTGAGTTTTCTTCCTTGCTTCTGTCCTCTCTGTCACATCTCCGTTTCTCTTCAGAGTAAACATCCTAATGCATGTCAGAGCTCTGGGTCCCACCTCCGTGACTTGAGTGAACTGCTGTTTCTGTGTAGCTGGCCACTGCAGTGTACATTTTTATCAGTTTGAAGTGTATCACAGTGTTGTCAGGATGGGGAAGTGCCAGTGAGGGGCCACATCACAGTATCTGTGGTTTCTATATGCCAAGCAATGTAGTGAGCACCATAGGGACTTAATGAACACCTAAATGGTGACTAAGTTACTAACCCATCTTCATGGATATATTTATCCTAATTCTTTTCTTTTTTAAAAGATTTATTTTTTGTTATGCATATATTTGTGTGGGTATGTGCAAGGGATTCCAGGTGCTGAATCCAAGGCTTTGGATCTGTAGCTTCGAGCTGCCTGACCTGGGTTTTGGGAATTGAACTCGGGTCCTCTGGAAAAGGAGGATATGCTCTTAACCACCCAGTCATCTCTCTAGCCCCTCCTATATATATATATTTTTTTTTCTAATTTTCATTTTTCCTTTCTGTTAGACCCGTCTAGGTTTATTTACTAATTTTCTGGCATTCCCGTTCGTACAGTAACCTGAATAAGTGTTTTCCCAAAGCGTATTTAAGGTTTTTTCCCCCTCTTTTGTAATTAGCAGAAAACAGTATTTTGATGCTCTTAGGAATGATTTTTGGTTTTAGTGGCAAAACTGAAGGTTTATTAAAGGAAAGAACAACACATCCTCCAAAAGTGGAAAGAGCTTCTTCAAAGCAGGTGACCCAGAGAAGTGATTTCCATTACCCTCTGTCATTATCTTTATTCTGGTGCAAAATATGTAAATGTGCATGTGCTTCAATTATTGATTAGGAACGTGAATTAAGCAAGGCTGAGAAAAATAGCAATGTAGAAGCCCTAAAAGCAGAGGTAATAAGCCTCCAAAATGAGAAAGCTGACCTGGACAGAAGCTTGCGGAAACTGGACCAGGAGATGGAGCAGTTAAATCACCATACAACAACACTTACGCAGATGGAGATGCTGACCAAAAACAAAGTATGATTTTCCTTCTGTGTTCGCTATACTAATTGGTGTTTAAAATAGCTCATCTTCTGTGAAATATTGATTTGGTATTGGCTTTGTATTTACAGGTTATAAGAATGGCCTTATAAAATAGACTTTTTTTTTTTTTGTTTTGTTTTTTTTTTTTTGTTTTTGTTTTTGTTTTTTCAAGACAGGGTTTCTCTGTAGCTTTTAAAGCCTTTCCTGAAACTCGCTCTGTAGACCAGGCTGGCCTTGCCTCCTGAGTGCTGGGATTAAAGGCGTTCGCCACCACTTCCTGGCTAAAATAGACTTTTAAACTTAAAACTTTTGTTTTCCTTTTTAGTTGTTGTCACTGTTTTTGAGATGAGCTGTAGCCTGTCCTGTTGTCCTTGCTGCCCTCTGACTGTGGACTCAAGTGTTTCTCCTGCCTCAGCTTCCTAACTGGGAATATAAGCATATGCCATTGCCTATATATGTCTTAATAACAGAAAGCCCAGAAATACAAACACAAAAATGTGTTCATTGTTGGTAACTTTTAACATGCAGATGTTTAAAATTTTTATGACATTAGAATTGTTGTTCTGGCTTAAAAAGACCATCCTGGGACCTGGGAGGTGATTTGAAGGGAAAGACACTTGCTACCAAGTCTTTCCACCTGAATTTAATCCTGGAACTCACACAATAGAAGGAAAGAGCTGACTCCATAGTTGTCTGCTCTCCACATGTGTGCATACAATTTTTTTAATTTTAATTTTTTATTTTTTTTAAAGATTTATTTATTTTGTTTACAGTATTCTGTCTGCATGTATGCCTGCAGGCCAGAAGAGGGCACCAGATCTCATTACATATGGTTGTGAGTCACCATATGGTTGCTGGGAACTGAACAGAGGACCTCTGGAAGAACAACTAGTGCTCTTAACCTCTGAGCCATCTCTCCAGCCCCCTACAATTTGTTTTTTTAAAGGCAGTCATTACTCCAAGTCTTTTAGAAGTTTTGTATTTTCTGCTTGAATTTTTATACTTTTCATTTTTAAATCAGGAACCTTACTCATCCCAGAATTTATTTATTCAATTTAATTCATTTTAAAAATTCTATTTATTATTTAGTATGTGTTTCTGAACACACACTTACTTTGTAGCCCCCTGTTATGTTGCACACCTTTAACTCCAACAGCAGAAGTAGACAGATCTCTGTGAGTTGCTGGTCAGCCTGGTCTACATAATGCGTTCCAGGCCAGTCAGCACTACTGAGTGATTCTCTGTCTCAAAAAAGATAAACAGTGTTTGAAGTTGGCTCTCTCCTTCCTTCATGTGGGTATCAGGAATGAACTCAGTTCCTCAGGCTTTTGTGCAAATGCTTTGACCTGCTGAGTCATTATGCCAATCCCCAGAATTATTTATGTTCTTAATAAAATGTGGAGATACAGGCTTGACTTTTTAAAGTTGATTTGCTTATTATATATTTTCATTATAGACTGACAAAGATGAACAAATCAGAAAAATAAAGTCTAGGCACAGCAGTGAACTGACTTCACTGTTGGGGTATTTTCCTAACAAGAAACAGCTTGAAGACTGGCTTCATTCTAAATCCAAAGAAATCAATCAGACGAGGGACAGACTTGCCAACCTGAAGTGAGTTGCTAAAACATTGCCATTGATATAAATCTCCTTATTTCATGCTTTTATTTTTAATTGTTTTCAACATTCATTATCATGGAATCATATATTCAGTTGACTTTTTCTTCTTCTGGCAATTTAAATAAAGTATAATTGGAGTAGATGGGGCCTCTTGTCTCTTAAAGCTGTAGAGAAGAATCGACACCTGAAAGTTGCATTCTGTCTCTGAACAGCACATTGCTGAGACTTCCACAGATGTTCCAGTAAGTGGTTGCTAGGTAACAGTATTTCTCATAAAATTTCTAGGGAGGTAGTAGATTTAATTTTGGCTATATTAAGTTTATGGTGTTTCATATTTTGTTTATTTGAACAGGGTCTTACAATGTAGCCTAGGCTGATCTCCAACTTGAGGTCCTCTGGCCTCAGCTTTGGAGTATTGGAATATATCACAGTGTCTGGCTCAAATTTGTATCCTTGGAAGAGTCTTTTAGTGACTAGAATATTTAAGTTCAGGAAATTGCAAGTTGTTGCAGTTTGTTAGAAAGGATAATCAAAGTAATTGATATAAGTCATGTCACTTTGAAAGAATTATACAAAAAAGGGGCAAGTAAGATGTCTCATAGGGTACCCTTACTGCCAAGTCTCAAGACCTCAGTTCCATCCCAGGGACCCACATGATAGGAGAAAACTGATTCCTGCAGATTGCCGTCTGACCTCACATGCATGCCCCCCACAATGACAAAAGGGGGGTACAGCTAAATACTAGGAATAATCGCCATTGGCCAGCTAAGGAAAGGAAGCTAGCAGTGGAAGCAGTGGCTATTTGGGGAACCCAGATGAGCCAGCAGGAGTGGTGTCTGGGGTGCCCTGGGAAGATGTTTCCTCAAGGAGAGGTTAGCAGTATTTGGTGCTTCCTGGAGACTGCACTTGGGCTTTAGGTTATTGGTGTGACGGAAGCATCTTCTGTAGTCCTTTTTGTGCAGACCTTGCAGTGACTCACAGTGGACAGTACTAAGTTCCATCTGTTCTGTTGTGTTCTTTCCCACTTGGTTTTAAAGAATATGGTGAATACAACACACAGAATTTCGAGACTCTTGTGCGTCATGACTTAGAAAGCTAACATCTTCAACACCCGAGAGCTGAGATTGGCGAGGATGATGGTTAAGAGTTGGGATAGTAATGAGTTGCATTAGTAAACAAGTTTTTGTTGTTTTTGTTGTTGTTTTCGAGACAGGGTTTCTCTGTAGTTTTGGAGCTGGCCTGGAACTAGCTCTTATAGACCATACTGGCCTCGAACTCACAGAGATCCACCTGCCTCTGCCTCCCAAGTGCTGGGCTTAAAGTCGTGCACCATCACCGCCCAGCTTAGTAAACAAAATTTTGATGAATGAGGGGGAATGAGTGAGCAGGGGCAAGGAGATGACAGCAACAAGAAAGGCAAGGCAGGCATTTAGAGGCGAGTCAGGAGTACTCTGAAGGAGACCTAGTGGAGGGGAAGTGCTCTGCTAATCTTTTCTGTGTCTCCTTAGAGCCAGCAGGTGGCTTCCACTTGCTCAGGCCTATAATCTAGAATCTAAGATCGTGAGCCCCAGAAATACAGCACAATTCTGCTTCTATACATTTATCTGGGAGTGGGTCCATGCTCAGGATTGGCAAATGGGTCGGTGTCCTAAAGGGAACATTCAACTAGAAGATTCAATTAGAGCATTCAGCTTGTTCCTCTGACTTCTAAAGAAAGTGTGACTGGAGTGTAGCTCAGTGGTAGAGCATGCTTGAGGTCCTGAGTTCTATCTCCAGCACAAAACTATAAAAGATACAGGAAAGAGGCCTGAAGAAATGGCTCAGAGGTCCTGAATTCAATTCCCAGCAAACACATGGTGACTCACAATCTATAAAGAGATCTGGTGCCCTCTTCTGGCATGCAGACACAGTACAGAGCTCTGTAAATAATAAATAAAGATTTCTAAGGGCTAGAGAGATGACTCAGTGGTTAAGAGCACTGCTTGTTCTCACAACCATCTACAGTGAGATCTGGTGCCCTCTTCTGATCTGCCAGCATACATGCAGACAGAGCACTGTATATATAATACATAAATAAACCTTTAAAAATATATAGGTATTTGGTCATACCTAACTCTTTTGAATGATTTTTGGCAAAATTTATTTTGTATCTTCTTTATCAAATTTTTCATATTTCTAGGAAGCTGGAGAGAGGGCTCAATGGTTAAGAGCACTGGTTGGTTGCTCTTGTATTGGACCTGGGTTTAGTACCCAGCATATACATGGTGGCTCACAACCACCTCTAACTCTAGTTCCAAGGCATTTGACACCCCTTTCTAACTTCTTTGGGTAGAAGGCATGTACATGGTGCACATGCATACATGGAGGCAAAACATTAATACACATGAACTAAATCTAAAAAAATTTAAAATTTTTTCAAATACCCTACATTTGTTTTTATTTTAGCAAAGAGCTAGCTTCAGCTGAACAGAATAAAAACCATACAACTAATGAGCTGAAGAAAAAAGAAGAACAGTTGTCCAGTTATGAATATAAGTTGTTTGATGTTTGTGGTAGCCAGGATTTTGAAAGTGATTTAGACCGGCTTAAAGAAGACATTGAAAAGTCCTCAAAACAGCGAGGTAAGTCGTCACAGTTTCTATTTTCAAGGATCTTTGCCTTTTGGACATTCCACAGGTAACTGCTGAGGGTCAAATTATTTTTATTTGTGTGTATGTGCATGTGAGTCGAGTGTCCACAAAGGACAGAGGTGTCCCCTGGAGGTAGAGTTGCAAGTGACTGTGAGCTGTCCAGGCTAGGTGCTAAGAGCTAACTGGTCCTCTGTCAATGCACCAAGTGCTCTTAACTGCTGAGCCACCCCTAAAGCCCTAGGATAGATTTTATTTTATTTGTTTGTTTAGGTTTTTTGAGACAGAGTTTCCCTGTGTAGCCCTGGCTGTTCTGGAAATCACTTTGTAGACCAGGCTGATCTCGAACTCAGAGATCCTCCTGCCTCTGCCTCCTGAGTGCTGGAACTAAAGGTGTGTACCACTATTACCACCTCCTAGCAAGGACAGGAGATTTTATAACTTTGTTATGGATCCTGACTTGAGCTCATTCCTGACTGTGCAGCTCACTATGTGAGTTGTGGCTTTTGGGCTTACTGAATCAGATTTATCATCTATAAACCGAAAACAAAGCTATAAATCATGTAGGATGTTAAAAAGGAGTAAATGGGGGCTGGAGAGATGGCTCAGTGGTTGAGAGTACTGACTGCTCTTCCAGAGGACCCAGGTTCAATTCCCAGCACCCACATGGCAGCTCAGAACTGTCTGAAGATCCAGTTGCAGGGGATCTGACACCATCACACCAATGCACATAAAATAAAGTTGAATAAACTATAAAAAGTATTTAAAAAAAGTCAGTCAGATGCCATGTAGCTGCTGAAGGAGAGAAATGCAGGAACTTTACCAGTAGGCCACAGCCTAGTGATACACAGATTAATAGAAATGGATTAATTTAAAAAAAAATAAAAAGGAGTAAATGAAATTATATGTCTAGGGAATGCCTGACACATAGAAAGGTTTCAGTAAAATGTTCTTATGCTTTTTGTATGATACCAAGAAATTGTAAGAAAAATGATTATATAAGAAAATATATGTATGTCTGACTGGAGATTTCTTTATTTTTTTAAATAGCCATGCTGGCTGGAGCCACAGCCGTTTACTCCCAGTTCATTACTCAGCTGACAGATGAAAACCAGTCCTGTTGCCCAGTCTGTCAGAGAGAGTTTCAGACAGAGGCTGAGTTACAAGAAGTCATCAGTGACTTGCAGTCCAAGCTGAGGCTTGCTCCAGATAAGCTCAAGTCAACAGAATCAGAACTAAAAAAGAAAGAGCGGCGCCGTGATGAAATGCTTAGGCTTGTGCCCATGAGGTAAACCTAAAGTCGTCGTGGGGTTGGGGTAGCCTTTTCTCGGGGCGTGTCCTGAGACTTGGCTCAAGTCATAAGTTGTGACAGCTTTTCAACTGGTTACTGATGGCATTTTCCAAACCTCACAAACAAAATATGAAAAGTTCTTCCAAAAGATGACCTAAAAAGGTATTCTTTTAAGTACGTGTGGGTATTATGCCTGCATATATGCATGTGCACCACATGTGTGTCTGGTGCCACAGAAGCCAGAAGAGGGTATTAGATCCCCTCAGACTGGAGTTACATACAGTGGTGAGCTGCCATGTGAGGGTTGAGAACTAAATTCTGGTCTTCTGGAATAGCAGCCAGTGCTCTTATAACTGTCAGCTGTTCACAGACTGCTAAGCCATCTCTCCACCTCACGCCTCCCCACCCCCCCCAAAAAACCAATTTTTTAAAATTATATTTTAGTTATTTGGTATGGATATGGGTGTGCTTTGCCATTTGTGTGGTAGTCGGAAGACAACATTGGGAAGTCTGTTCAGACTTCCACCATGTGAGTCCTGGGGGTCAAACTTGATGGCTCTTTTACCCACCAAGCAATCTCATCAGCCCCAAAAGACAACTTTAGAGTATATTTTATTTTGTTCCCACTTTTGAAGAAGTACAGATTATTTCTGTTGTTACTGTGTCTTTCATATATACTAGAAATTTAGGCAATAGTCTGTTAAGTAAAATCTCATGAGGAAATACATGATTCCTATCCTGGTGTCTCCTAGAACATAGGGTTCAGAACCAGTAAGACACGTACACTGGATGGAGCTGGTGGTCTAATCAAGGAGGCAGGCTCTCAGAATTAGACAGAGCTGGGCTTAATAGAAGCACTTGAAAATGTGCAGACAGAAGTGCTAGTTCAGAAGAAAGGAGCCTGGGGGTGTAAGAATGAGATGAGCCTTTTGAAAACATGGCAGGAAAGGGGCTGGAAAGCCTTGAGAAGTTTGTGTGACTTAGTTATCAGGGCAATAATAGGGGAATTTGAACCATGTACAAACAAGAGAGGAACTTACCCTAGACTACATCCAAAATGTTATCTCAGGACTGAGGCAAGATTTTTATGCCTGGTTCCCGTAAGTTGGAAAGATGGGGCTGTATTATGTTCACACCTCCTGTAACTCCTGCTAGATGATAAGGAGCCACCCTAAAGTCTTGATTGTGTTTATTTATGTGTTGAGTAGATCAGGGTGAGAAAATCTCTGGAAGCTGAGAAGCCAGAATCTGTTGTCCAGAAAAACTACAGAAGAGTTTCAGGAAAATGAGGAAAGTCTAAGGAGATTGCTTTATGGCAGCCAGCTTCTAAAGTGGGCCCCATAGTCTCGGTGCTCGTGTGTGGTTCCCTTTCATAGGTGGCAGGATTGGTCTGTGTGAACTAAGAAAGGCCAGAAGTAGCTTTACCTGGTGGTTCATACCTGTAGTCACAACACTTCACAGGTGAAGTCAGCAAAATTCAGGGTCATCCTCTTCTGCATAGTAAGGTCAGTGCCAAATTGGATTACAAGGGACTTGTCACAATCAATAAGAAAGACAGAGTGATAGCCTCTCCTTGCAAGATTATGTTACCTAAGGTACCGTGGCTGTCAACCATTCTAGTCTGCCATGTTCACGTAGCTCTGTGGAGAAGTCTGCATGGTGGGGACTGGAGGCCTTCTTACTGAACAGTGAGTGTGGAAGCAGAATTTATAGCAGTTGATCTTGAGATGACTGTAGCCCTGGCCAAATAGCTTGGCTCCACCTTCCTGAGAGACTGTGTCAGAAGCAGACCTCCTGATCCTCTTATCTGTGAGCAATAACTGGTACTCTTTTTTTAAACTGCTTGGTTTGGGGGTACTTTATTATGCAACAATAGATAACTACTGTATGCATCAAGAGAGAAAAACCAGACTGTTAGAGCCACAGAGAAGGTGATAAGAACATACAGCAGTAACTTGCGATTGAAAAGGAAGAATAAGGTAATATCTAGAAAAAAAAAAGATCAAATAAAAGATAAAATTAAAGCTGATAGAAAGTGCACACAGAAAACATGAAGTTGTTCTGAAATATTTCAAATGGTGCAAGGTAACATGCTGCTATATTTCAGGGCTCCTGGCACAACTCCCCTTCTCAGAATAGCATTTCTTAATCATTGCCATGTCCTGTGACTGGTCACGTTGCTGAATGAAGGATGATCCATTTATTCTAGTCACTGCTGTGTCACGAAATAACAGGGAGGACCTGCTGTCCTTCCTCATGGTTCTGTAGGATGGCTGTCATCTGGGTCTTGCAGGAAACAGCAGTCATCTTATGGTTTGCTGGTGCTGGACATTCAGGGTGGCTGATCCTGACTGGTGGCCGGGAGCCCAACTGAGGGATGTCATACAGCATGCTTTCACATGGCCTCTGCGTGTGTCCTGGCCTTTGGTCAGCAGTACGGCTTGCTAATCAAGTACAATTATACCAAGAGATGGGAAGCTGATGCTTTGTGAAGTCTCTGTCTCTCTGTCTCTTTGTCTCTCTCTTTCTCTCTCTCCCTCTTTGGCTTTTTGAGACCGGGTTTCTCTATAGCTTTGGAGCCTGTCCTGGAACTAGCTCTTGTAAACCAGGTTGGCCTCGAACTCACAGAGATCTGTCTGCCTCTGCCTCCCGAGTGCCAGGGGTAAAGGCATGTGCCACCACCACCCAGCTTCTCTCATTTTTAAGGATTTATATTTTTGTTGTTTTTATTTCGGTATACATGTTGAGAGGGTGTATGCATACACCCATAGAGGCCATAGGCATTGAATACCCTGGGAGCTGGAATTACAGATACTTGTGAGCAACCTGATGTGAGTGCTGGGAACTGAACTCAGCAACAGTGCTGTTTCTTCAGTCTTCTCATCCCTGTTCTTAGATCCTACGCGGCATTTAGTTCTTTCCCCATAGGCGCCTACAGTCTGTGTGCAGCAACAGTGCGTTAGCCTTTGGTCTCTTTCATGGCCTTGAGGAAGCTTTTGGTGGGTACAATCAGTCAGTTTGTAAAATATCTCTGCTTGGCAACATCCCCATAATAATACTGCAAAGTTAGCAGTGGCTACTATCATCAGTAGGCAGATGTTTGAAAAACAGGATATTCACCTGTTCTAAGTGTATTTCTTTTAAGAGGGTTTTTTTTTTTTTTTTAAATACAAAGGAAAAAGTAAAGCCAGGCGGTGGTGGTGCGCGCCTTTAATCCCAGCACTCGGGTGACAGAGGCAGGCCGATCTCTGTGAGTTCAAGGCCAGCCTGGTCCACAAGAGCTAGTTCCAAGACAGGAACCAAAAGCTACAGAGAAACCCTGTCTCGAGAAACCAAAAAAGAAAGAAAAAAGTAGGCATTTTACAGTGGAAAAACATGGCTAACACCACTATGATCAAATGAATAAGGTAGACCTCACAAATAATAGACATGTTGACATCATTGAGCTACTACAGGATGTCCTGGAAAGGGCCAGCATAATAACCTCGCTTTCATTATGAAGATTGATTTCAGTGTGTTTTCTCTTAAGGGAAAGCATAATTGATTTGAAGGAGAAGGAAATACCCGGATTAAGAAACAAACTGCAGAGTGTCAGCGGAGACATACAGAACCTGAAGACTGGCATAGAAGAACAGGAAACACTCTTGGGAACAATAATGCCTGAAGAAGAAAGTGCTAAAGTTTGCCTGACAGATGTTACAATTATGGAGAGGCTCCAGGTAAGCTTACTGCAGCTTAAAGTAGAAAAATTGACCTGTGAATGTGTTAGAAACAGTAGCTGGAGCCCCGGGCAGTGGTGGCGTACTCTTAGTTGCAGCACTGGAGATAGAGACAGGCAGATCAAATTCCAGAACAATCAGAGCTACACAGAAAAACTCTTCTCTCTCTTTTTTTTTTTTAATATTTATTTATTTATTTATTAAAGATTTCTGTCGAGAAACTCTTCTCTTAAAAAAAAAAATCAAAACAACAAAAAGCAATAGCTGGGCATGATGGCTCACACCTTTAATCCCAGTACTGGGGAGGCAGAGGCAGGTGGATCTCTGTAAGTTCGGTACCAGCCTGGTCTACATAGCAAGTGCCAGGCCATTCATGGCTACACAGTGAAGCGCACATTCTCTCTCTCTCTCTCTTTCTTTCTTCTTTTCCCTCCCTCCCTCTCTCCACAGTAGCTAATTTTCAGGTACAGATAACTGATTAACTGAACTGATTAACTGATTTGTATAGATCCTAGGCTTAAAGAATTTATAAACTATGGAAAGTGAGGCATAGTTCATTTACCTTATTTGAAGTACCAGACTTAATTTCACTTTTATCTTGTTAAACTTGGCTTTAAAGGGGCTTGAATCGGGGCTGGAGAAATGGCTCAGCAGTTAAGAGCATCACCTGCTCTTCCAAAGGTCCTGAGTTCAATTCCCAGCAACCACATGGTGGCTCACAACCATCTGTAATGAGGTCTGGTGCCCTCTTCTGGCCTGCAGGCATACATACAGACAGGATATTGTATACATAATAAATAAATAAATTAAAAAAAAAAGTTTTTAAAAAAAAAGGGGGGGCTTGAATCTTGGTAATGCAGTGAGTCTCTTAGAAGTAACTGTTCTGTTCTTAAGATGGAGCTGAAGGATGTTGAAAGGAAAATTGCACAGCAGGCAGCTAAGCTGCAAGGGGTAGACTTGGATCGAACTGTCCAGCAGGTTAACCAGGAAAAACAGGAAAAACAACACAAAGTGGATACAGGTAATGAGTGTTTGCTCACACCCCACAAAGACGTCCGTGCTGCCCCACACGCGTTCACTCTCCCGCTCCTTTCCCAGTGTCATTTCTGTTCCCTGCCTTGTGCAACAGCCCTGGAATTGTAGAGTCTGATGAGCTGTGCTCTTTCCCAGTTGTACCTACCCTGTGACTGGGTGGGGATAGCGAGCAGGGCACCCTTGTTGCATGTTGGAGCCTGCTGCATTTCAGCCTCTGAATTCTTTACACCGTAAGAACTCAGAGGGTGATAACAGTGCTTTCTGTACCCATCCATATGTTTCTGTTCAGTTTCCAGTAAGATTGAATTGAACCGTAAGCTTATACAGGACCAGCAGGAGCAAATTCAGTGCCTGAAAAGTAAAACAAATGAGCTGAAATCAGAGAAACTGCAGATATCCACGAATTTGCAACGTCGTCAGCAAATGGAGGAGCAGACTGTGGAATTGTCCACGGAAGTTCAGTCTTTATACAGAGAGATAAAGGTAGGAATGCACATACATGTTGTTTTGTAACTTAGTCCAGACACAAAATTCCCTATATTTTGGTGTGAAGAGACATAACTACGGTTATTGTGAGACTCAAGTGAAAGTGTTATGATGATTCTTCATGTGTGGTGTTTTTTTGGGGGGGTGGGGAGGGTCTCAAGGCCCGGTTTCTCTGTAGCTTTGGAGCCTGTCCTGGAACTAGCTCTTGTAGACCAGGTTGACCTTGAACTCACAGAGATCCGCCTGCCCTGCCTCCCAAGTGCTGGGATTAAAGGCGAGTTCCACCATTGCCCGACTTCAGGTGATTTTTGAGTGGCAGAAAGATTTGGAAGAAAGAGTTGGGTCGTGTAAAGAAGAACCAAGTATCTGGTTAGATAACGAATTTTCATGTCATAGATACAACACTTGGGGACAAGAATTCATATGTAACTATAGCCAGCCACCATCTGCCACATGAAAATTCGCTATCTAACCAGATACTTGGTTCTTCTTCACACGACCCATGACAGACACCCGTATGTTAGCACTGCTCCATTCAATCCCACATGTGATTTCAGCCTGCTTGCCAGTACAGTGAATGGGCATGGGGTGCTGCGGGCCCTAGGATGTACCCGCTGGCTTTATCTCAGTGCATCAAAGCAAATGTCCTAGTCCTGGTTTTCATTATTACAGCCACTCGTTCAGTAGGTACTACACATGTTACCCAGTCTATTTAGCAGTGACTGCTATAAATGCTCCTTTATTTCTTAAATAATTCTGGATTAAATAATATGGATTTATACTACAAAGTAGTATTACCTTGCACTAGTCTTAACTGGTTATAAATGATTTTTACTTAAAACACTTGAGTATCTCCCAGCCCTGTTGAGATCGATGACAAAGATTTCAGAATGCCCATGGCTGTCCAGAGGAAGCAAGGTTGATGGTCAGAAAGGTCTTCTGGTAGGAAGGTACTTGGCTCTCCACCACACCACCACCTCCCTGCATGAGAAAACACACCAGTGTTGAAATCACAAATGTCTGTGTCTTCCTTGTAACCTTTTAGATTCAGAACATGCTTTAAGAGTTCAAGGTTCATTTTTTAAACTGTGGTTATCATGTGTACATGTTCAACACAATGTCACAAGGGACTTCTGATTTGTACAATAGTTTGTCATTTGAAAGCTCCCTTTCTTCCATAAAAGGTGTGGGCACGCCACCGTCGATCTGTGTGCTGTTACTACCATGTAAATAACTGCTTAGCTAACATGTAGAGAAGAATGCTGCACTGAACACACCTTCCTCATCTTTGATCACATAGAGCTGACATAGTTCCCTGTTGAACTCTTGAAGATCCATGCATAAGCTATATGGGATAATTGGAATCATGGATAGATGAAAAATCTAGTCATTTTGGTAGTCATTTCTGGAGTTGGGCTAGGTTAGACTCTTGGCTACTACATTTACTTTTGTGACCTTGAACAAGTTACTGTTTGATTGCTCCTCTGAAGCATGTGGATAAAAATATCAGTGCCATCTTCACAACCCTGTCAAGACATGCAAATAAGTTAAAGCCTGACACCTGGGATGTGTTTTACTGAGGCTGTGGAGCCTGGCATCTGAAATAAGGTAATGAAGTGTTGTATGACTGGTCTGACTTTGTGTGTGCTCAGGATGCTAAAGAGCAAATAAACCCTTTGGAGACAGCACTGGAAAAGTTCCAGCAGGAAAAAGAAGACTTAATCCACAGAAAACATACAAGTAACAAAATGTCTCAGGATAAAGTAAGTTCTTGTTTACATATTTTGCTTACCCAATGCCTGTGTTAACCATTTATAGCACTATTATTTTACATAAATTAAATAACTAGATAAGGTAAATAGTAGTTTCAGGTTTGTGATACTATTTATTTTTGGAATGCTGGACATTAAACTCAGGGCCTTGTGAATGCTAGAGTAGCACACTTATCACCAAGCTACATCCCTCACCCTCATGACGTGTGTGTGTGTGTGTGTGTGTGTGTGTGTGTGTGTGTGTTTGCGCGCGCATAGTTGAGGGGGGGGCATCCACGTGAGTATTCCGGTGTGCATGCTCATGCATGTATACACAGAAAGAGCTGGAGGTCTTCTTCTGTCACTCTCCAGCTTGTCTCCTTGAGGCAGTCTCTTACTGAACCTGAGCCTCACTGGAGCTACCTGGTGAGCGTCCAGGATCTGCTGTCCCCCATCCCATCCCAACCCCCAGTGCTGAGGTTACAGGCACACACAGCCATGCCCAGTTGTTTTTGTTTTGTTTTGTTTTCACATGGTTGCTGGGAATTTAAAGTTGGGTCCTCAGGCAAGTATAGCAAGTACTCTTACCCACTGAGCCATGTTATAATTTTGGATTTAGAAAATTCTTGAGAAAAGATTCAACTTACCAGCACTCAGGAGGCAGAGGCAGGCAGATCTCTGAGTTCGAGGCCAGTCCTCTAGAGTATAGTTCACCTAGCAGGAGCTCCATCCTTAGAGAAAACTGACTGCCTCTGGTTTCTGATTTCCAAACCATTATGCTTTTCCATTATGCTTTCTTACTGATCCCCTTTATCAGATCCTGGTGATTTTTAAAATTATTTATTTGCTTGTTTGTTTTCTTTTTTTTTTTTTTTTTTTTTTTTTTTTTTTTTTTTTTTTTTTTTTTTTTTTTTTTTTTTTTTTTTTTTTTTTTTTTTTTTGGTTTTTTGAGACAGGGTTTCTCTGTGGCTTTGGAGCCTGTCCTGGAATTAGCTCTGTAGACCAGGCTGGTCTCGAACTCACAAAGATCCAAGATCCGCCTGCCTCTGCCTCCCGAGTGCTGGGATTAAAGGCGTGCGCGCTTGTTTGTTTTCTTGAGGCAGAGTCTCAGTATGTAGCCTGGGCACTTGATACATAGACCAAGCTGGCCTTGGAGTCATAGTGATTCTCCCTCCCAAGTACTAGGATTTCGGACATGTGCTACTATTCCTAACTCATCTAGTGTATAATTTGTTTTGGTTTTGTGTATACATGTATAAATTTAATAAATGTCTTCCCGCAGATCAGTGATATCAAAGAGAAAGTTAAAAATATTAATGGTTACATGAAAGACATAGAGAATTATATTCAAGATGGAAAAGATGACTATAAAAAGGTAATTTAGAACAAAATTATTATTTGTTTGTTTTTATTTTCGTGCACCTAATGAATCTTTTTTTCTTTTTTAGCAAAAGGAAACTGAACTTAATGAAGTTGTAGCTCAACTAAATGACTGTGACAAACACAAAGAAAAGATAAATAAAGAAATGGGAACCATGAGGCAAGATATTGACACACAGAAGGTAGGGCTTTCTGCTACGATAGCACAGCACTGTTTCTGCAGTAAGTTTTTTATAATAGAAAATAAATTAGATGGAAATGCAAATGGGGAAAATACATTTTTTTCTTCTTCCTTTTTTTTTTTTTTGTTTGTTTGCTTTTTGCTTTCTCTTTTGATTTTTTTGAGACAGGGTTTCTCTATGTAGCCCTGACTGTCATGGAACTCACTCTATAGACCAGGCTGGCCTCAAACTCACAGAGATCCGCCTGCCTCTGCCTCCTAAGTGCTGGGATTAAAGGCGTGTGCCACCACCACCTGGTTCATTTTTATTTTCAACAAAGGGCTCTCAGTAGTAAAAGTTTAAACATATAAGAGGCCAGGCATGGTGGAACAAGCCTTTAGTTCTAGCACTCAGAAGGGAGAGGCAGTTGGATCTGTGTGAATTGCAGCTACATAGTGAGATCTTGTCTATTTAAAACAAAACAAAGATAAAGATAAAAAGTTAAATACCCCCTCCTATTTCCAGTCTTCTTCCTAAATGTTGCTATTTCTTGTTTGATCTTAAAGATGTGTTTTATTTCTGTATCAGTCTGTATATCAGATGGATAAGTGTTGGTTTATATGTGTATTTATACTTAAGTTTATATGTATATCTTACATTTGAATTGTTTTCCGTCTTTTCAGCTAATATATTTGATCTTACATATTAAGTCATAGGCTTTTTTTTTTTAATTTTAGACAGGTCTCATTATGTAAGCTAGGCATAGGGCCTTAGTTCCTTATCTATAAGGAAAATATAATGTTCATTTTCAAGTTGATATGTGTCATTTTCTCTATTAAAATTAATTTCTACAGTAAGATTAGATTGAGATGTTATCTTTGCCAGTAGCCCAAGCCTTTAATCCCAGCAGAGGCAGTTGGATTTCTAAGCCTGCCTGGTCTACAGAGCCAGAGCAAGGACAGGACAGCCAGGTTTCTTCTACACAGAGAAGAAACCCTGTCTCAAAAAACTTAAAAAACAAAAACAAAACCCTTACCTTTTAAGGATTAGCCTGTTTGTTTCTTTGAAACAAAGTTTTGCAGTCCAGGCTGACCTATAACCAGTTGTATTGCTGGACACCTTGAACTCCTGACATTCCCCCCTATCTCCTCCCACCTCCCCCACCTCCTGTCTTCATATCCCAAGTCCTACGATTATAGGTACACACAATCAATCACTCCCAGGCATTTCAAAAATGAAATATCAATACAAGGCTTATCTGCTGACCTAATACATATATCTGGAATGTCTGCCTGCAGGGTGAGCCTTCCAGTTGACTGGGAGACTGGATAGGACAGAAAAGGATGTCATCTGTGTCTCTTGAGCTAAGATACATTATATATGTGTGTGCATGACAATGTATATGCCTGCCAGGACCAGAAGAAGACTTTAGATTCATTGGATCTGGAGTTACAGATGGTTGTGAGCTAATCAGCATGGGTGCCAGGAACCAAACTCCATCCTCTCCAAGAGCTGCTAGTGTTCTTAACTGCTAGACCATCTTTCCAGCTTTTTAGGACACACTTCTTTTGCTCTTGGACATCAGAACTCCAGGCTCTTTGGCTAGAGATGTAGCACACAAGGGGCTTGGATCTGATCTCTAGCACTGCATAAACTGCATGATGTCACTCACTCTAATTCCTGCACTAGAGTGGTAGAAGCAGGAGAAAGAAAGAGTCCAGAACTTAGACTAGTGGCCCCTCAGGCTTGTCACTGAGTTGTGTTTCTGGCATCCTGGAGTTGTTGAGTTTGCAGACCACTGGTAATGAGTTTCATTACCCTCTATAATGGGGTCAACTGTCCTAACGAATCCCCCCATCTGTGTCCTATGGGCTCTGTATCTCTGGAAGTCACCATGGCCAACTGTGTGCATTGCTGTATCAGCTGAACTCTGTGGCTGGGAACTCACTGATTTATGTGCTAGTTTAAGTCCAGTCAAGTTTTATCTTAAGTAATTTGAGGGGCTGGAGAGATGGCTTAGTGGTTAACAGCACTGACTGCTCTTCCAGAGATCCTGAGTACAATTCCTAGCAACCACATGGTGGCTCACAACCATCTGTCATGAGAGCCGGTGCCCTCTTCAGGCAGAACACTGTATACATACTAAATAAATCTTGGGTGAGGGGAGTAATTTGAAATCTGCCTCCCTTTTTTCAGTGAAGGCATATATATGAAGGGGGGAAGTAGAGCCAGTATTACTGGTGAGCAGCAAGCATAGCGGCACACACTTAGAATCACAGTGCTGGGGAGGCAGTGAATGGCTGTGCCTAGTGCTCACTGGTGAGTTTCAGTGTCCCTGAGAGACCATGCCTCAAAAACAAGCAAACAAAAAATACTGAAGTAGATTGTGAGGAGTGACAATCAAGGTTTTCTTGGCTGCCACACATACATAGAGATGTTTGTGACGCACGCACACCCAAAAACCATCAAATAAACAACCATCAAGTAGAGCCTAACAAAGATGAACTTTTAAGTGTTAACCTGTTTTTTCCCTTTATCTTATTCTTTATATTTTGTGAGCTACAATTAGAATTCCAAAGGAAAATTGGACCCCACAGCTTTTTACAACCAGTTACTGAGCCAAATACTGTTCTGACTTCGCCTTGAGAATAACACTTTACAGTAGGTGGCATTATCACCATAGTTCACACAAACTAAAGTAAGACTGGAAGGTAACCTAAAAGAAATACTTGTCTGATGATTGTGTGCTGTCAGATTGGGAATGTTGCATAAGAATCAGTCTTAACTCCAGTGTGTGATGGCCCTTTATAAAGCGCCCTTACATGCTGTCATGAAAATCAGTTCAAGTGTTAGATCACACCAGATGAAAGCAGCCTTTCCATGTTCCTAATAAGGATAAGAGCTCGGTTCTCCATGGCAAGGCTTCAGCGAGCACAGCTGTCTTCAGTGTGTCTTGCGTTGCCTCAGCCACTGAACCTTCACAGCCACGTCACCTTGGCTACCTTTAGCTGTTTATAGTAATGCCTTTCATGAGTTTGCACAGTGGTAGCCTTCACTTTTCCCTTTCTTCTCTGGCTGACCTAGAACTCAGGATGTAGACCAGACTGACCTTGAACTCACAGAAATGCTCTTGCCTCTGCCTCCCAAGTGCTGTGACTAAAGGTGTGCTCTACCACACTCAGTTTTACCATTCTTCTTAATAATTTTTTTTAAAAGCCGGGGGGGGGGGTGCATGCCTTTAATCCCAGCACTCAGGAGACAGAGGCAGTTCCAGTCTCGAAAAAATAATAATAATTTTTTTTTAAAAACTAAAAATAGTGTTTCTTGGGAGCACAGTTTGATTTGAACCTTTAGCACATGAGAGAAAGCCTTGTCTCCTACCACCCAGATACTTCACAGTTGGAAACAAGGTAGTGTCAAAACTTTTCCCTCCTGCTCCTACTGCACTGAGTTTTTGCAAGACTTTTTCCCCTAAATTCCAGTGTTGGCTTCTAAATTGTCTCCTAATGTGTGTCTCTTGTAATTCATTGTAATCACTAGAAAAACTATCAAGGTAGTTATTTCTCATTCTTGCCAGGTAACAGAATGTCTTTTTAAGGATTAAGACCACTCAGCATCAACAGCCAGTTTCTCTTTCTCTCTCTCTTTCTGTTTTTCCTTTTTTCTTTTTCTTTCTTTCTGCTTTTCCTTTTTTCTTTTTCTTTCTTTTTTTCTCTTTCTTTTTTTTTTCTTTTTCTTGTTTTTTCTTTTTTTTTTTTTTTAAAGATTTATTTATTTATTATGTACACAGTGTTCAGCCTCCATGTATGCCTGCAGGTCAGAAGAGGGCACCAGACCTCATTACAGA